CCTTTTGCTTACTTTATTTATGGAAAATTTTTCGCTTTTTTATTGTTCATTTTTTCTATTACTTTGTTTTTTTATTGCTTTGTTTTTTCTTTTTAAATTTATTTATTGCAAAGCAAAATTTATTGCCTTGTTCTTACTTGCTTTGTTTGTACATATCATTGCTTATTTTATCTTTGCATATTTTATTTACTTTCCTTGTGCATGGGTTATTACCAACTCTATTTTCGCATATTATTTTATTTACCTTATTTATACGAGTCATTACTTACTTATTTTTGTATATCGTTTATTTACTTTTTTTTGTACATATTTTATTACCTACTTTATTTTGCATGTCCTTTACTTTCATTCCTTGTATTTTTTGCATGCCTTTTACTTACTTTATTTGTACACATCATTGCTTATTTTATTTTCACATGTTTTTACTAACTTTATTTGTACATATTTCATTACTTTGTTTTACGCACTTTGTTACTAACTTTATTTTTGCATGCCTTTCATTTACTTTATTTGTTCATATTTTGGTGCCAACTCTATTTTTCCATGCCTTTTACTTACTTCATTTTTGCATATTTGATTGCCAAGTTTACTTTGCATGCTTTTCACTTACTCTATTTATGAAAAAGTTATCACCAATTCTATTTTTTAAAGCATTTTATTTTTAGCTGCATTTTTAAATGCCTTTTACTTGCTTTTTCGTGTATATTTTATAATAATCGAACCACTTTCTTAAGCGGCCTTGGTTAGTAATCGAACCAGTTTATTAAGCAGCTGTGGAGCGAAATGAATCAAATTGTGAAAAAGAAGGTGTAAATTATTAATTAACGCATGGAGGATTTGCACCTTTAATTAATCCACTTGTTGAATGCGAATGTTCTGATATTATTCTCAATTAACAGCTCGAAATTTATAGGCTGTATGCTCTTTGAAATCATCGGGTATGTTACTTAACCTTTAGAATTTTCCTACATCACAGATAAATGATCATCAAAAAGCAGCGAAGTGACCGACACACAGAACTTGGAAATATGAACATTTTCTCCTCAACCTAAAAACTTTCATGCATCCCTATTTTGATAGGGATGCATGAAAGTTTTCAGGTTGAGAAGTTTGAGACGTCGATTGGCTAACAATTACTCATGAAACTACTTTGGCGCAAGCAAAAAGAAAGTCACAATCGCTTACAACAGCAACGGAAATGCGTATGCTTAAAGGTTTGTCAACATTCATGTTTTGAGAACTTTTGACTATAATTTCATCTCTTTTAAGTATTTTTCAATTTGGTGAGATGTAGTGAATTAACCAATTAGGCGCATAAATAATATGCATCAGAATTATTCAAGAGAGTTGACATAAAATTCTCACAAAATTACTTATGATAATGTGGATCCAGAGCAAGTGATACGGAAGTTACACAGAAGGAAATAGGAAGAAGATGGAAGGGGTACCGCATTTATAGATTGAAAGAAGGTATTGATTGAAAATCCGAAAACTTCCTTCCCAACCCGAAAACTTTCATAGATCTGAATTTTGAAACATAGTTTGCGACGTCCATAGCTAACATTCGCCAAAGTTTTCATGAGTAAATGAAACTACTTTGACGCAAGCAAAGACAATTCCTTCAAAGTCTCTCACAAGCGCTGCGGAAATGCGCACGCTTAAAGGTTCGTTTCGTTAACATTCATGCTTTGAGAGCTTTTGGCTATAATTTCTTCTCTTTCAAGTATCACTTGAGTTTGGTGAAATGTAGTAAATTAGCCAATTAGGCGCATAAATAATATACATCAGAATTATTCAAAAGAGCTGACACAAAATTCTCACAAAATTATTTAGGATTATGCGATCTAGAGCGAGTGATACGAACGTTACTCAGAAGGAAATAGGAAGATGAAAGATTTATAGATTATGCATACTTATAGATTAAAAGAAGGTATCGATTGAAAAATTAGTCGAAAAACAAGTTCATTAATCTTCAAAATGGTCTAAATGTAGTATTCATAGAGATTATATCAAAGACTGGCTGGAGATGAATTTTATATTTTTTTTTTCAATGAAATGGAGTTATGAATAGAGCATGAAGTAGCGTATGAAACGCCAGTACTTCCAAAATTAGGTGAATGAATATCGTTCCTTTCATTCGTGAAAGAAATTACATGATTTCTTCAAGGATTTGATAATAAAATTATATCACAGAAATTAGACTTGGAATTATCCTCGATATCAAATTAATTCTGTTAGAAGTTTGAATTTGTAACTTTTGCTGTCATCTCAAATCGAAATAGGCGGGAACAACTTCTTTCACGAATATTTGGTGATTGCGAAAATTTCTTAGCAATGCTTTGTTTGCGACAAAGGGAAAAAACAACTAAGTGTATCGGTCAAATTTTCACTGAAATTCATTAACAAGCTTAGAGCTTCTGATCTCTTCTTTATTGGATATTTAATGAAGATTTAAATTTTGTAATGGGTGGAATATCGAGTATCTCTGATTATAAATAAATAATGGAAAGATATTGGAGTTGAAATCTGAAATTACGATCTTTGAAACTATACATTGGAAGGTATTTTTGGAAATCGCTTTCTTTTTACTGTTCGAACTGTTATTTTGTGACGTGCATGCAGCTACTTTGCAACTCGCATGCAAAAAGCAATTCGTAAAGTAGAATTTCAATATTTTGTTGGGTGTCAGTAAAACATTTCTCGCAGAAAAATTTTAGAGTTATAGAATTCCTTAACTTTCTTCAGTTGCTGTTATTATCAGTTGTTCTCTTAAATGTAAACATTTCTCGTTTTCAGTTTATTTTTGTGTTGCCATGCTGATTTCCAACAGCATATTTTTTTTTGTGGGGAGGTGTCGAGCCATCTTTATGCGGTCTCTTTATTACTAAGATTTTGCGAATCATTCCAGTTAATTAATTAGCAACTTCCACTTATGGAACCGTTGCGACACCACCTAATCAAACTTAAATAGACTTTGACAGCTTATCAGGATGTTTGCCGAAAAGTGATAATTCGGATGTACCAAAAACACAATTGAAGACAAACATGAAAATTTGAGATATGGCATGGTTTATTATGACTTCTTGTTTGAATTTCACATCAAAATGTTGAATTCCATAATGTTATCTGTGTTGAGCCAACCGAAATTTCACGAAATCATTTGTCAGTGATACACTCAGACAAAAATGATACTTGTCTGATACTATCAGTGATACTTGGTGTCTTATCCTGCTGATATCATTCATCTTTCCTTCCTATACTTTTGCTGTAATTTATGAAAAAGTTGAATAGTTGCCTGGCGAAGGAAATGGATAAAAATAAGAAAAGACTGGGGCACTGAAACAATAAAAGTAGAAATTTGCAATTAACAATTACGAATTTATTGAAACAATCCTCAATCCAAGACATAAATCAATCACTTCATAGCATTTGCAACTATTTGAAAACAAAATCGAATAATTTAATCATCTAAGTTTAAAAATGGGAAAGAAAACGAAATTTCTCAGGTTTTTGATAAATTTGGAAAAATATATCAATTTTGATTTAGGAATAAAGCAAAATAAAAATACTGCTTTGATAATATGGTTTTAGCAAGTATGCCATACATGATCTAATTTTTTCACTTCGTTCAAAACTACATAATACGCTTATGGCCATTGTTTTAGAAAATTGAGGAGTATCGTAGAGCCAATCACTTACATATTTCATCAGCAACTTTACAATGATTCCTTATTCATTACTTCATTGCTACCCCAAGTGTTCCTAATCACGCAAAAGAAAAAGGTGAGGAAGTTTAACAAAATATTGATTGGATGCGATCATAGTATCCAGCCTTAATTTACCTGAAGTAATGAGTTGCTATGAT